TGAATATATATATGCAAAGTCATCACTATCAATCTCCCTTTAGTAATATAAGAGAGAATTCTCTCTTACATTACTAAAGGTAGTATACCATTGATAGTGCTCATATGGGCGCTAATAAGGCACGTTTTTGAACTGTTTTGACTTACTTAAGCGCCCGGGCGCCAATCACGGCAAATACGGAAATCGCCAGATAAATAAATCATAAATTGAAACGGAACCGGTGTGAAAGAAATGATGGTCCCCCAGGGTTATCCCGTTCCCGGACTATGGTCCTGTGAACATCTCAATCATTTGCCTGTGCGATTACAACATGGGAGAATTTTTTACTGATCTTACACTTTAGATACCTACTTCAATAGATTCCTTGGTAATTTAGCATTCTTTTCGTGTAGTTGAATCCACAATTGTCTGGGTTTATCGGCAGAACGAAGACATTTTCGTTTTTGATCGCAATATTTGCGTGTAACATTAACTTATTTCAACCGTCAAATTCCTCCATATTGGTACTTCCGGGCTACATCCGGGACAGCCAAACGGGGGATTCCCCTTTTAAATCCAACCGCCATTTTGAAAAGTGATGGAATCTCTCTCGATGAAAAAGAGAAAATGTTCCCGTTCTGCCGATATACCCAGACAATCGGCGGTTCCAATATATTAGAAGTTACATCTTGAGTTCTATAATGCATTGAGGTAGGTATCTTAAGTGTAAGGGGCGTAGATAATTCTCCCAAGTTGTAATCGTACAGGCAAATGAATGCGATCAGTGCAGGACTATAGTCCGGGAACGGGATAACCCCAGGGATTATGGTCCCCTTTCTTAACGGCCCTTACTGGCCCTAATAGTGTATAAGATAATGAGGAAAAGAGTTGTATTTAGGTCACCATATAAATCTATGGCGAGTAGGACCATAACTTGATAGGACCTCCCACCCTTTTACACCGGCTCTGCTCCTTGATGAGTAGTCTTGCTCAAAGACTGTATCCCCCCCGTTACCTTCACTCTCTTTACCTGCAATTAGGGGGGGGGGGAGTACAGAGTCTTTTAAGCAAGACTACTTGATGAGATATGACATGATTTCTTCAGGATTTCGTCTAAAATTAAAACAAAATGGCTCGAAGAAAGATGGCGATATTCGAAAACTGGACGAAATCTCGTTAACGTCTGACATTAGTAACTGGCTGTAAATTCTAAGTTAGTGATCCAGAAGATGTGAACTAATCTAATACACTGATCACTTCATGTGTGTTTTGGAATTTTTGGTGAGGTAATAAGACCAAAACTTGCAATTCAAATTGTGATATGATTTCAAAGGACAAGGTGCAATTATTTGCAAATATCCCTATGGACAAAATGAATCATTCGTAGGTGTAACATGAAGAATAAAATGTCATATAATACTTTGGAAAATATTATAGTGCTCGGACACACATAAGCTGAGATAGGGATCATTTCGTTCAGTAAGGTTGTATTGACTTACATGGGGCTGTGTACCATTGACTTAACATGGGGATGTCAGCAGATCCCAATAAAGGCCATTGGTTTCCATTGATTATCACAGAAATACCAAAAATACACTATGACCTGAATCGATTGCAAACTTAATAATTTCACAATACGACACAAATGGTTTATCTCATCAAATGTGCAAATATGAAGTTTGCAATCGATTCAGGTCATACTTAAAATTAAAAGATTGTACATTTTTTCATCATTTTTTTCCCTACAAAATGGCTATCGAAAAATGCTCCAAAAACAACTTTTTCACTTATGAAATATCATACAAGTTTGTAAAACCAAAGATTATACTATTATATTTCATTATGTAGTAACATATTTGGATAAGATGCAGGGATGCGTAGGATGTAAATGGATTTTGACAGACACAAAAATACTTCCTGGTTTGGAATCTATGCCTCTACACTTCATGATTGAATTATGACCCTAATAAGTGGCCTATACATCAATACAGTGCTGAATATAGGTCAACAAGCTACTTGTGTGCATATAAATGTAATAATCAGGCCCGTAGCCAGGATTTGCCAAGGGGGGGTTCATTTTTCAAAAATTTCCAGGGGGGGTTCACATTTGACAATTTTGGCCCAAATATGGCTAAAATCACTTGAGAAGTGCTCAAAATGGTGAAAAACTGCATGATTTTGAAATAATTTTTGGCCAGGGGGGGGGGGGGTTCGCCCGAACCCTGCGAACCCCCCTGGCTACGGGCCTGAATAATTGAAGCAACTCATTTTGAAAAATCAGATGAATTATTTTTTTCCCATGGGGAGATCCCAATGGAGGGTGTATAAGGTCCTTTTATGATTACGACATGACCAATTGTTCATGCACACTGGAGACACTCGATTACGCTGGTTACCAAAACGATTCGTTTTGGTAACAAAATGTCGGAACATCGAAGGTACGATTTTCTTTTTTCCTTACTTCACACGTTGTAGACAGAATTCTCACGACATTTTTGACACAAACGTGTATCAGTATCATATGTTTAAGAAAATGTACATATTTGCGAACAAATAGTTCAGGAGACAACAGAATCGTCGATTTAATTCCTCACTTAAGTTACATAAACGGTTTTTCGAAAAACAGTTAAGATCTGCACTTTTAACCCAAACCGTTTATGTAACTTAAGTGAAGAATTAAATCGACGATTCTGTTGTTTTCTGAGCTATTTTTTCGCAAACATGTACGTTTTCTAAAAAATATGATGCTGATACACGTTTGTGACAAAAAACATCGTTGGGATTCTGCCTACAACGCGTGAAATAAGGAAAGAAGAAAAATCGTACCTTCGACGTTCCAACGAATCGTTTTGGTAACCAGCGTAATCTAGTGGATCACCAGTGATGCAGGAAATTATCTTTCCAGGAAGGCCACGCTACAGTGGCCTTAGAAGAAGGTAATGTTGTATATGCTATTTTGTTCCAACAAGGTTCGGAAAGATATTTTATTCTATTCCCAAGAATTGGTAGATAGGAGCAAAAATAATTGCACTAAAAAACAAAAAATGTTAACAAAAACGGTATATAAAATATTTCTAAATAATTTTCACATTAAATTGTTGTCAATCAGTCAACATTACATAGAATACCATGTTTTTTACAGAATGTTTTCAATGATTGGTTTAAGAGAAAAACATTGTTGAATTCAGTTCTCCATATCGATACCTACCCAGATAGCACAAAGACGTCGGGCCAACGTCGCTATTGGTGGCCATTGGTTGGCATGGTCGCAGTTGGCAAATTGAAGTTGGGCCAACTTTGGCCCCTCGTTTGCTGCCGCTAATACCAGGGAGCCAACAGTACCTATCGATAAATCAGTGCAAAATTGCAGTTGGCAAATTGTAGTTGGGCTAACCATATTTTCCTTCGGTGGGCCAATGTACATAGCGACGGTGGGCCAACCACGTCAGCCAACGTTGGACCAACAGATACGTAATTGTTGGGCCAACGTTGGCCCATCAGAGTTGTGCTATTTGGGCTATCCTTTACATGTTCTCCAATACAAAATAGCTTCTTTTCTCTTATCATAAATAAATGTTCACACAGGACAGAGTTATGACAAAAAAAGTTATGAATATTCTAAAAGTATCAAAAGTTACAGTTTATTGTGTATTCTAATATTATACGTGACGTAAAAATAGCTAAAACAATTGATTTACTGGTCTATACTGGAGTATGTTTGACTGCTTTAATCAATAAATGCCAAAAGTTGTTTCTTGTCTGTTTATCATATAAGAATGGTAACAAAGACCTCGATTTTATGATATGTGGCAAATATATGACCTCATATTTTGTTCTGGCGGTTGTCAAAGACCTTGATCACGAGGCCTGTAGGCCTACGCAATTTAAGTCTTTTAACAATGAACAGAATTAAATGTTCAGTCATATACTAGTATTGCACCATAAATCATAAAATCTTGGTCTTTATTTCTTAAATATTGGAAATTTAAACAACTGATAGTTTTTATCCTTATCATACATTTATAATCCACACCCTTATATCCTTGTATCTTATAACATGTATAAAGACAAAATTTCACATCTTAAATTTTATTCTTTCTTAGATTTGCAACCCTTAGAATGTTTTCTCAAATCATTTGTTTGATTAAAAGATTCATCACAATATCCACATTTAAATGGTTTGAACTCAGTATGAATATAAGAAAGTTGTGCTAACGTTACAGGACTTTTAAAGGATTTGTCACAAAGTTCACATTTAAATGGCTTATTTTCAGTATGAGTCTGCTTCTTTTCAGATGCCTTTTTAAATGGATTTTCGAAGTATAACTTCGTGTGAAACATTTCCTACAATGTTCACATTTGAATGGTTTCTCTCCAGTATGAATCCTGAAATGTCGTTTTAATTTGTATTGGCTGATAAAACATTTCTCACACTGTTTACATTTGTAGGGTTTCTCTCCAGTATGAATCCTGATATGTTCTTTCAAATATCTTTCTAGAGCGAAATATTTCTCACAATGTTCACATTTGAAGGGTTTCTCAACAGTATGAGTCAGGATATGCTTTTTCAAAGTTGATTTAAGTGTGAAGCACTTCTCACAATGTTCACATTTAAACAGCTCGTGTCCAGTATGAATTTTTATATGTCTTTTCAAATATGATGCTGTTATAAAACATTTCTTGCAATATTCACATTCAAAAGGTTTCTCTCCATAATGAAGAAGTGTATGGATCTCACAATTTTGTTTCATTGTGAAAGACCTCTCACAATATTCACATTTGAAAGGTTTCTCTCCGGTGTGAGTTCTGATATGAAGTTTCAAATATGATCGTTTGTTGAAACATTTCCCACAATATTTGCAATGAATAGGCTTCTCTTTGGTATGAGTTCTGGTATGAGTTCTGATATGAGATCTCAAGCCATTTTGTTGGTTGAAACATTTATCACATTGATCACATTTAAATGGTTTCTCCTTGGGCTTCTCAATATCAAAAATATTGGTTTGAATTGTTTCATCATTTACATTAGAATCTGAGTCAATGTTCAAATCATTGTTTTTAATATCATTCTCTTGTATATTGTCACATGAATAATCTAATTCTGGTTTAACATCTGATTCATTGTAGTCATCTGTGTTTGCCTCTTCTTTAACATCTGATTCATTGTAGTCATCTGTGTTTGCCTCTTGTTTAACATCATCATATTTGATTATATAGGGCCAGGTGGCATCATTAATAGCAATATTCCCCTCAGCAAATGACTCCTCAATTTCTTTTTTGATAACTGGTTCATCATTTGATAGTTTCATATCATCCTCTATTGCTGCATGATCCATATTTTTTAGATAGTGTCTTTCAATCAATGAGTCTTTAAATGATTCAATCCTTGGATTAAAAATCCAATCTTTCAGAATTTACAGTTGTTATATATTCTTTCTGGACTAGCAATCCGTGGATTAAAAATCCAATCTTTCAGAATTTACAGTTGTTATATATTCTTTCTGGACTAGCAATCCGTGGATTAAAAATCCAATCTTTCAGAATTTACAGTTGTTATATATTCTTTCTGGACTAAATGTGTAGCTGCACTGGAAATACAGAGAAATAATAATTTAATTTAAAACAATTCGACCTCTTGCCTAACTGATATGTATTATCATTTATTTACAATCAACTTTTCAGATTCTTGAACAAGTTTCACTTTTTAAAGGCTAAATGTATTTAGGACACATGAGACATGCAGTGCTAAATCTGCTCATTAAGTTCAATAGCTGTGTTGGGAATTCCTTCTCGAACAGAACTCTCTATTTCCATAAAACATTAGCTCATTTGAATTATGACAAAAATTGTGTTCTATGGAAGATAAAATCTCCTAAAATTCTTTGTGGTATAAGAATTCCAGTGCAAATTACAAAAGTACGTTTTTATCATTGGAATATGTAGTCAACAGAGCACTGAATTGATTCGTAGTGACACAAAAACCTTCATTTTATTTTTTTACATTTTATCTTCAAATGTAGATAATTGATAGTGACAAACAATTTTTGTAATAATGGGTGGAGGGAGTTTTAGAAAAATTCTTTAAGAGGGAATTATAATTAATGAATTACCATCATTAGGAACTCACCCCCTGTACATAGGACAGCACTATTCAAATCAATTCCTCCAAATATCTCAATGAGACATAATATAGCACAAACAATAATTTTGCATTTTTAAATAGGTATATTTTATTATTCTAGACATAAACATTAACATGATTAGCCACAAATACCTGGTTGCATTTGGATTTACAATTTATAAATCACGCTTACAAATACCAAATGCTGGTCACGGGATGGTTGCTACTGTACATATATAAATGACAATATTATTATTTGAGTACAATGGGTTCTGCACATCCATTAATTTGATGAATCTTTTAACTCTGGACATTTGCAATCAATCTCATTTGCAAGTTTAAGGGTTAAGTTTCACTTTTTAGGATCAGAAAATGTTTTGAATGCACAACAAAACAACTACAAGAATTGCTAACAACATTTACAGGCATTCTGATACTCAGACCATCTCTGCTATGCACAAGAATTCTAGTTCTAGAAGGACACTGAGCTGTGATATCTCACGATGATTTACAGGGGTTTCACTAGATTTTTTCACAACAGGCTAAATAAAGGAAAACAACAGGCATTTAATTAATGGAAATCATAAACTTAACAATGAAAAGTTGAAAAGTCCCTAAAAACAACAGGTGATTTTGTGAAAACTGGTGAAAATCACCTGTTAGCAGCTGCTAATGAAACCCTTGATTTAAGTAACAAGGCATGACTTGCAAAATGTCACCACTTGTCATTTGTAACAGATGCTGACCATTGAGCAACAACGGCCCACAAAATAATTTAAGACTATAACATTAAAATAATGAAAATATAGTTAACATTTCAAAAAGTCTGATAACCTCTCTCCAAACCAGAACAACGGCAACGCCAAAGCGTAGCAAATCCCATCGAACAGAAATGGCTGGCATTTTTACAAACGAAGCGCAAATATCATAAAACAACACACCAGAAAGGCCACCATTTTCAAAATGGTTGCTCACGAGCCAAGTTGTCATCAGAAAAATTGTTTTCAAAATGGCCGCCTTCTACCGAAAGTGTCATAGGACAGTGTGCCATGCTTAAAGTATTCACATACCAAAAATGAACAAAATCGCTCTACTACTTTTCGAGTTATGGTAAAATATGTTAAAATGGCGGCCATTTTTCAAATTTATTTCAAAATGGCCGCCTTCTACCAAAAGTGTCATAGGACAGTGTGCCATGCTTATAGTATTCACATACCAAATATGAACAAAATCGCTCCACTACTTTTCGAGTTATTGTAAAATACATTAAATGGCGGCCATTTTTCAAAATGGCCGCCTTCTACCAAAAGTGTCTTTAGACAGTGTGCAATGCTTATAGTATTCACATACCAAATATGAACAAAATCGCTCCACTATTTTTTGAGTTACAGCAAAAATCGTAAAATGACGAGTAAAGGTCGCCATTTTTCAAGATGGCTGCCATGTGCTTCTTTAATATCTACATTTGTAGCATTATTAATGTCCTTTATAATTTTTTTACATTTAAAACATATTGCTATTGCAGTTTTACATGTTGCACCTAAATTACTGTAAAATCATCACTAAAATGGCCGCCATTAAGAAATGAGCGGCCATTTTGAAAATCGGCTTTTGAGCAGAACTTCTACCCCCATAGGGTATATGTGTACAAAATATGAACAACATCGGGCCAACGGTATTTGAGTTATTGCCCAGACGTACGTACGTACGTACGGACGGACGGACGGACGGACGGAGGCGTTCCCTATATCCCTCCGAACTTCGTTCGATGGGATAAAAATGCACATACCTAAAACTTGGCTCAATTTGCCACCTGCCTTATTTGGACAAATTGGCCAATTAGCAAAGGAGTGGTATCGATATGGCAGTATGGAGAACTTTTTGAACACACGTTTCTCTTAAACCAGTCATAAAAAACCTAAAAATTTAATACATCGTCAATTTACAGTGAATTTAATGGTCACCTTTTGAATGGTAGCAATATAATTTGAAAAATATATACTGTATATACTTTCATCTACATTGTTTTAGAAAACACATCAAACACTTGTTTTGTTCTTGGTATCATGTTTCAAGAATGAAATGAAACATCTTTCCGAACCTCATTGGAACAAAACAAGATAAACACAACATGTTAAGGTCTCTCAATATTATAATCGTACAAAGGAAATTTTGGTTGATTTTAAAAAAGTATCTTGTAATGAAATAAAAGGTTGATCTTGATTTTTATCTATTTTGGGGGGATTTTGTTTTAATTTTTTAAATACTTTTTTAAAATCAACCGAAAATTTATATAACTATAATATTGAGAGGTCTAAAAACATGTTGTATTTACTCGAGTCTCTAGCCAATACTTGGCTAGAGGTGATTTCATCTGGAATACTGTGAACTCCATTTGAAAAAAGCTGGCCACAGTGTCATTTTATTGAATATTTTAAAAATCGCCAGATAAATAAATCATAAATTAAAACGGAACCGGCTCGGCTCCCTGCTATTTCATATGTTTCACACATTTGTACATCATTCAATTTTGTACCATCCTACTTTATTTCATGACCATCAGACTGATAGTCACAATTTTACAGCACTTTGAATAACATGCTTCAGGTCCATTTCGACGTTTGTGATCCTGCTAGGTTGTTGCTAGGCAACATCTTGGACCAAAATTATATTGGGACAATGCCAAGGCATAAATTCATAAATCTGCATACTAAATCACTGATTCACGGGATACTAGAGTATCCGCGTATATTGAGTATGACCGGTTCTAAGCTTACGAGTGTGACCGTATTTCTGTTCCTATAAACAGACGAGGTGAGTACATGCTTTTTATGAACACTTTCGAACGTTTTCTTTTTATCCTACTTGGTCAATGAATGATACTTGGTATACTTATAATGCCAGGCATATCACAAGGGGCCTTAATCAACAGAAAACGTATTAATATTAGATTGAAGCCATAAAATCCTAGTTTCCAGCATCTTTGATCAGTTTTTGTGTAACACAACGCAACTCCGAAGAGGATGACACATCTTATGTATAACATATAGCTAGATCTACGAATTAGTCATGAATATTTTAAATAATTTAGCCTGCTCTATCCAAATATGATACATCTTTGAATTTTTGAGAATACGAATGTCACTGGTGCCCCATTATTGGAGAATACGGTTGTGAAATGTCTTGGATGCCGTGTTACACTCGTTTCCATGACATTTCACAAGCGTATCCTCTGGGAAAAGATAAATCCTTCTCTTGCTCACTCTACGGGGGATCATATAAACTGAGATTTGGAGATCTTGTTCAGGTTAGCCATAAAAGGTTTGGGATTTGTTTTTTTCTACTGTGATATTAATGATTTGGCTCTAAGGCGAGAAATCTGTACTTTCTGATTGATATTCCATTATGAACAGTTACATTGCCAAAATAGCTCATGTTTAACATTTTTTTGTTACATTACTATTAAATACAGCATAAACTATATTCAACAAACACAATTTCAAAAAGGATAATATAGAAGTTAACCTTTATTTTCCATTTTTAAGCAGCTGTGCCTCTCATGACTTTCCAAAACAGGTCATATTCGTAGCCTAAGAACCGGTCATACTCAATATACGCGGATACTCTAGTTACCCGTGTGATTGGTCAAGTCAGAAGCTGAACCTGAAATTGTTTACCATTTAGTTTCACCTTACATTGATTTCATTGGGATTTCGCGATACCTCCTATCTTTTAAATTGTATATCTTCAATTCAATATCTTCAAAAAATATTGTGAAGGAACATTGACAATTCATCACAAAATGTCAAAAATTTACATCCCCTTCATACTGACCTTGGTTTGACCTACTTTTGAAAAAAACTTTTCTAAAGAGGTAATTGAATAAGGTCACAAGGATATCAACAATAATGAAATCAGAGAAGTAATAAAAAATCGCAGAGGAAGTCCAAATGACCCCTCCCCTTGTGACTTAGTGTTATAAAAAAGGTTGCAGACATGAGGGTTAAAGATTTCACATCTTAACTTTTATTTATCTTTCTTAGATTTGCATAGCTTTAAATGTTTTCTCAAATCCTTTGTTTGA